GGTGTCTCTGGCTCCAGAGGACTAAAACAGCGAAAATTTTTCACTTATGGGACTAGTTTGCGACAGGCTCCACTTAGAGGACTAAAATGATAAAGGGGTCCAGTTACGCGACTAAAAAAACAGTTTACCCTCATTTCTTTGAAAAATCGTCGTGCAGGGGCGAGACTAAAGGAATTACCTATACGAACATATAGTTTTGCTGCTTCAAGAAAAGCAACGGACTTGGCTTTCGATATGTTCGTGAATGGATTGGAACACATGACTTGTAAAGTGTCAAGTGTAAATTATTGAGAAAATGAAGCTTTTGTATATATTAGCTTCATGTATTCAGTATAAGTTGATTGGTTCAATCCTTGGGACATCTAGATTTTCGAATGCTTGGACTATATAATGTACTAAGATGGAAATTCAATCGTTACGATATTTTCATTTATGCATTAGCTTGTTGTGTATATTGAAAAGTTTGAGAATAAATCATGGATATCGACAAAATGGGGGAGGATTGTTGGTTATTTTTTTGTTATTGGATTTATTCGAAGATAAGAAATGTCGTATCGAGCTATTTTTTGGAAGGGTCGTGTGGGATGCGCGCTCGAGAAAACCTATACGATATTGAACGAGGTGTGAAATAATATAACGAAGGTGAAAATTATGGTACATATTGTTTGAAAATTATTATTTTCAATGTAGGAATTAAATTAATTCATTTATGCATTTAACCTTAAAAAAGTTCAAATTTAATTGATTTTAAATTTGAATTGATAAATTTAATGAATAAATTGAATATTTCAATTTAAAATTAAAGTTGCATATTTTTATAAAAAAATTGTGTCTTTTGGATTTAAAATTCAAATTTATAGTTTTTCATAAAAAAAAAAAGGAAAAAGAAAAAAAAACATTTTTAAATATAGTAATATATTATTGTCTTTCACATAATTGTAAAAGAGAAGAGATAAAAGAGAAAAGAGAAAAGAGAGAAGAGAGAATGTGAGAGAAGCCCCAAAGTTACTTAGTGAAATACGCATCAGATATTTCTCAGATCTCTTTTCTCCATAATTCTGTCAAGTATATTCTTTATATGCAAATATTCTCCCAACATTTTATTTGCTTAATTTTTTGCCTAAAATTCGAATGTTACTTTTGTTTTATCACGAATTTTGTGTAACCCGGGGCGTTAATAGAATCGAAATATTGTATAAGGAAAGTAAATGTACGCGACTCAAAGTATATTCAAGATCGTGTATACCTGGCAAAATTCGATTTTATCTTATTTTCATTAAATTCGGATTATTTCTCCAACATAGATTTAATCTTATCCATATATTAGATTATTTAGATTTAAGTTTATCGAAACTTCCAAAGTTAACATTTTCTATTCTTCGTGATATGAGTAAACCCATGATCGGATCAGATGAGAATCAACAAGCTGCTGAGGCTTCTTCTTTAGCTGATCATGGACACCAGATTGATCTTGACTGCCTATCATGCTGAGATCGACCATTTTCCACTACGTTCTTCTAAGCCTCGCACCATGACCCCTAAAAATGTAAGGATATTTTTAATATTAAATACAATGACATAAAAGGTAAATGTGACCGGACAAAAAGAGTATAAAATAAAAATAGAATGATAGAAGTATATTACAGTGTACCTAAGTTTTTACTTTTATTTTGTTTTAGTAATTAGGACGAAGATTACGATTATTTAAACAGCCTAATACACCAACCACAGTAGAGATACAAAGAAACAAGCACACATCATTATTATCAATTATAGTTTGCTAAGAAAAGTTTGGGATGTCATGTTTAGACCTTTTAAGTTTGGAAATGTCGTCTTTTTTGTTGTTTCCTTAAGTATTTTACAATTTGTACAAGTTTTTGTTAGTTATCAAAAACTGTTAAAGTATTTTAGGAGAACTATTGTGTTGTTTGTATGAAATCGTTTTTTTTTATCTTTTTAGTATTTTGTAAAAGAAAATTAGACTATTTTTATTAGAAATTGTAGATATATATATTATTTACAAATGGTATAAAAATAAAAGATGTTTTTAAATGCAAATCAACACTATTAGGCTCCTAAATTCTTAATAAAAATATATTATTTTTTTTTTTTTACAAAATGTATATTAAAATAATTTTAAAGCAAAACTCAAATGAAAAAGTTAAACTCAAATTAAAATCAAACATGCTTATATATTCTATATAATGTTTTATTTAATCATAAATTTAATTTTAATTAGATAATTAATTAAAATAAATATATTATAAATTTCAAATATGTCGTAGTGTCTAAACCATTCACCATTGGGGAAGTTCAGGATAAGATTTCTTTAAAACTTAATATCCCTGAGGACAAGTGGAAGTATAGGGATGAGAAGGAAAAGGCAGTGCAGATCTTAAAGATTCTTCATAGAAAGAAATTTGTGCTCATGTTGGACGATCTATGGTCATGGTTGAATCTTGTTAAAGTTGGTGTTCCGGATGTGGATGGTCAAAGAGTAGTGTTCAAAATTGTTTTAATGACTCGATATGAACATGTCTGTGATTCCATGAGCTCGGACAGGAAGATAAATATAAGTTGCTTGGAGAAAAAGGAAGCCATGAAACTTTTCATGGAGCAATTTGGACCAGACATTATAGATTCTCATTCAAGTATTTCGAAAGAGTGCTAAAATTGTTGTGCAGGAATGCGATGGCTTACCGCTTGCCTTAGTCACTGTGGGACGGGCCATGGCTGGCTCGGGAAAAAGAGCCCCGTGATTGGGACATGGCAGTTAAGAAACTACATATATAGAGATCCATCCAAGATCATGGATATGGAAGATCATGTTTAGCTACGACAGCTTACCTACTACCGAATGATACAATAAGATTGTGCTTCTCTTATTGCTGCATATTAATTCCCAGAGGACTTTGAAATCTTGATCGATATGATGATCTCTTAAACCTGTGGATATATAGCAGAGGGGTTTGTAGAAGAATCTGATAATATGAATGAAGCTCCAGTCCTGATCGAGGGACTTAACTTAACTGCAAGTCTCCTGGAGTGAGGGTGGGGCAGAAATCATCTGGAGATGTTGTTGGAGATTGGAAAAAGTAGGAGCACATAGATATTTGGTGGAAGAGTGTGCTGAAAAGATGGAAGCTGAAAGAGTTTCATACATGATGAGGGACACCAGTGGTACTGGTGTAAGAATGCATGCTCCCTTCCCTTTTGAATTGTTGCAGTGCAGACAGTGTCTCAAGGTGTGTTAGACTTGTGGTTGCCCTCAAGCATTGGTGACTTGACTTGAGTTTCTTAACTTGTCTGATACCTCTATCAAGGAATTAATTGCAAGAGCCTAAAACGATTGCCGCCTGATTGACTGGACGAGGAGGTCGCTGTCTCAAGGAGATGAGAGGTGGGAACCACTGCAATGGGAATGGGAGAATCAAATGCTCCACCCTCACTCGTCGATATATCATAATACAATAAATAACTTATACTGAATGCCTCCCTCCCATATCTATATTTTTAATATTATTATGGGTTTGCTTCATGTTTCTACTTGGTTTTTAATTGTACAAATTCATAAAATTCTCACTAAAAAATGTATTTTCTGTTAAAATTATAAACAAACAACTTATTTTCTTTTTTTTTTCATTGTCATAAAATAAAAATAAAAAAAAAAATATTTGATTTTTTTGACAAAAATTTATACCATTTTTATGATTTTTTTACTATTAAAAAATCAAAAAAATAATAACAATAATAAAAAAAATACACATCACTTTAAAATCCATAGTAAAAACAAAATAAAAATTAACTTTAAGTCTCAACCCCTTACCTTTATATGGGGGTTCGATTTCCATCCATTTCTCCCGGCTAATAGCTTTGGTTAGTCCAATAAAAATAATACAACCAAAATGTATTAATATTGGTTCCAATAATAAGAAATTGTATCTTTCTCTTTTCGTTTAAGATTTTTTTTGTTGTTATATTTTTTTTTTGGAAAAAAAATATATTACCTGTCTACCGTCAATCCATTTATTTTTGCATATTAATTTTTGAATAAGGATATTTTTATAAATATAAAAGATATTTTTACTGCTAAAAACAATGACGCCAAATGCAAATTGATAGATTGGCGATGGACGAGGTAGTATAATTTTTTTAATTTAGAAAAGTTAATATAGTTAAAAAAAAAAATAGTAATCTCAATATAATTAAAATATAATACTTTATTCGTCCCAAATCTATATATCCATTTGTTTCTTTTTACGAAGTTTTAAAAATATTAGTATTATATTGTGATAAAGTAAAAATAAATGTAAAAAGACTAGATAACAGTAATAATATTTGTGTAATATATCGTAAATTGAAAGAGTATTTGTGATATTAAGCAGATAGTACAAAGAAATATATATTTTGTTATAAAACGGACCAAAATAGAAAAATAGTATTAATTTAGTTCCAATATAATCCCAAAATAATTAAAATATAATATCAATTTTAGTTTCAATACAAGAAATTTATAAAATATATTCTTCCGGAAAATTTTGCCTAAAATTTTACTTTTCATCACAAATAAATATTTATTTTTTATTTTTTATATTATATTAAAAATTAATTTTACATTCAAAACAATAACTATCTTGAAAACTACACAATCGTATACAATTATTATGTCCTTATTTGAAATTGTATTGAAATATAAAATTAATTGTTTTGAAAAAAATCTTTTCTCAGCTCATTATTTCATTCATATATATATATATATATATAATTTTTAAAATACTTTTATTTTATATCAAAATCAATCAATACTATATTTATGAAAAAAAAATGATACGACACAAATAAATATCTATTTCATGAACGGAAAAAATATAAATTTTCATATTATTTCTATAAATACAGCAAGGATGACTATTGAAAACCAGTACATAAAACAGCATAGCAACTCAAGCCTGCATGTTTTTTATATATATTATTTTCACATTGCATAATCTATCATAAAATTCACTGAAAAAATATCATATACAACCTCCGTTTTGTGTTCAAACCATTTCATAAAACTATTTTTAATTCAAACCTATTTCCTATTATAATACAAATATATATATATAATCCAAATGCAAAACATCAAAATATACTCCAAAATACAAATAAAATGGAGGTACACCCTTACACTGGTACATTTGATAGACAACAAGAGTTTTACATCATCAACTACCCTTTTTTTTCATTTCTTCTCATTTTTTTTTTGTCCTCCTTCATGCATATATATATATATTAAATAATACCTTAAAATAATCTTAGTACAACATAAATAGTAGAAATTGTTTTCAAGTAAACCAAACATGCCAAAACACCCAATGACAAACACAACACCGATGTTGTAATGATAAGATACCTCACATGGAATGCGTTCGATGTAAGCCACTGTTCCATCAACAACACAGGCTAAACAATCGAGGGAATTAAGCCCAGTAAAAATATTAGGCACCTGCTGTAGTCATCAGAAAGTTTTATCTGATCCAAAGGGACGACAGACTCCACCCGGATGCCCTGCTGTGTTGAAGAGGATGAATGTCTGATCATTTAGTGACAAAAACGAGTAGTAATTGCAGGAATAGAACCAATTATTGAGACGCCGAGTTCCAAACAAACCTTAAAGGCCTTCAATAAAGATTGCCGCAGCATGAGGGCAATGCCAGGGTGTTCCCAATTTAAAACTTTGTACGAATTGTAGGGATCAAGACACCTTTTTCGGCTTGCCATATATCCACTTCAACCATGTAATAAAGCAATGATTTGAAAGGTGCTCCGGCAGATCAGCCTACAAAACAGCAAAGTAAAACAGTAAGTATTGCATTATGACTATGTATATATGTACATCTAAATAAGTATTCTCTTGAGCACTATTATTGTGGGCGTGGATCAAACAAGTCATAGGAACCAGGCAATTCATGAACTGTATTTGGAACTGTAAAACTCAAATAAATTTTTCACCAAAAGGACTGGTTAATGCAGTGAACATAGTTTCTTGTTAACCAGGAAATCTACGGGCAATGTGAAACTATGCAAACTCGAACTTCGCCCGCCATATGGTTCTGGCAGCTCACAGTTAATGAAAGAAGCAAAGAATTAAATGAAGTCTCCCCGCGCATTAGGAAATATGGAAAATGGAGGAACTCCCTAGATAACAAACTAGCCAAGAGTGACTAGATAAAATAATTTATGCAATTCATCTATATCAAAGTTACTTTTTAGAATTTTGTACGCTCAGGGCACCGCACACCTGAGATATAATAGCCTAATATTTCGTCAATAAAGACTGAAGTAAAAACCACATTAATATTAAATGTTTTTGAACTTACACTGCTCCATGCAGTAGAAAAGCCATCTGTAGAGAGCAACCAATCACTTGCGTTGGGTTGAAAATCTAACATGTTGTTTGATAAATCATAATCAACCTTATCATTCTCATAACTTTCATCGGGATCTGAATTTCGCTTTCTTTTCTTTCTATGTTTCCTCTGCTTCTTGAGCTTGAGGCTCACTGAAGACCTCCGGTCATTATCCGATACACAGTCTTCAGAAAGTTCATCATGACGTAGAAAAGTATACTTATCAGACTTACGGAACTTTATTCCATTGCTGATAAATAGAGGCTCCCAGGATTCAAGGCTTATGAACTCATCCATTAACCGAAAATATATAGCCCAAGATTGAACACCCAACCTTGTTACCAATTTCAATTGTTTCATCTTCAATCCTTCTGCCATAATTGGTTCCAAATCATTGGTAGAACTAGAGGATGTACAAAGTTCTAAAACCAAATGCTTTATCTCCTCTCTGTCTTCCTCACTACCTTCTTCCTGCACAAGCCGTAGGAGTTGGCGATGTTGATTAGTCACTGCATTTAGTAGAAGTAACTGATCAAGGTTATGTGAACCGCAGAATTCAAGAAGTACAATATCGAACCAATCAGTCGCATTGTCAAACCCTACTGATTCTGACTTTCGCTTAAGGTATCTTGGTAACAAATCTAGAAAATAACAGAAGTCCTGTTCTTCGAGAATCATAAGAAGACGATGACAAAGGAATGAGAAGGATTGCTCCTCAAGGAATTCTTCTATAACTTCCCATATGTCTTCTAGTTCCTCCTCGTACATCAGGTCAGTAAACAAATTAACAAAATACTTTGGATCGACAAGCAATATATTTCCATCCTTTAAGGACTCAGAAAACTCATGAGATGACCAAAATTCTGGCACGTACTCAATAAAATTTTCAACTGTCTGTTGGACATCCAAATCAAGGAAATAATGCGGTTTTGTTGCAACCATGGCTGGTGACTGCCCATGTTTACCTTTCCATTCAAGCTCCTCCCAACATATATCCCGGTTTACAAAAGCAAATTGAGAGAGCGCCTTAGCACCCTTTCCATGTTCCACATCACCAGCGCCAGAAAAATTTGAGAACCACTGCATGATACGTCTTGAATTTCCTGATCAAATAATGGTTTGTTGGAAACTAAGACTAACAAAATAAAATTTAAAACATAAATAAATAAATAAAAGCTCAAATGAAAGGAATAGAGAATTGAACAGGTGAGCTAGCACAATATCAAGCATTTTCACTGTGGAGTTACGTAATCTTCATTAATGCAAACACACACACTAAAAACCATCTTTAAATTGGAAGGTTTGAGCAAAACAGCTGCCAACTCAAGTTTAAATCACACAACATGACACCTTGTGATCAGAAATTGTATTTGCAATGCATTAGATGCAGCTATCCAAACATGGCTGCATTATTCTAAAACAAAGATATCAACATAAATTGAACACAACACATGCTTTGCACTACTTGCCTAAGTGTAAAAATAAATAAATGAATAAAAATTACTCTCAAGACTCAGAAGCTTTCAAACTACATAGCACTAGAAAGCTTTATTGACCATCACTCTGTTCCGCATCCACGTCATCTACAAACCAATCGAAATTCAAACATATATATATATATATATGCAATAAAATTTAAAAGGTGATAGTACTAGATCAAGGATAATAGTTTCGTAATGTAAAACACATCAATTCCAATGGAAAAAAGAGTTTGTACAAAACTCAGCACTTGCCTTTGAAAAAGTTTTCCAACCTGTGGCTTTTCTTTGCAATTATAGGCCCCACTTTTTTTGGTTGCTTCTCAAATATTAACTGCAGAAGTTGTGATGCTAATTGCTTCTTATTTGGCATGGATCTCAAAAGTCTCACAAACAAGTCGCGTTGTCGGAGAGAGCTTATGGAACGTATGCCCGAAAGACTTTTACAAAGCCAAAGTCGGGCTTCAGATCGACCTCCTGATTGCATCAATGACCAAATGGCTGATTCTAATTTATCAAGTAGAGATATTCTCCGCGTACAAGATTCATCTTTCCCATTGACGTCACACCAGGTGGGCTCGCATAGAAACAACTGAAGCATTTCTCTGCTCCCAAACTATAACAGATAAGACATTTATTATAATGATTTCATCACTGATAAAACAACAAGTCTATATACTAATTTAGCCAAGAATAACAGATAATCATGCAATGAGCTGATTAATGGAAACTTATGAAATAAATAAGTAATTTTGCAGTTCTGAACAGCTGGTGTTGTTTAACTCTAACTACTTCTCTGAATTTACTCAAGTGCTCAACACACATAGTCAACATAAAGAAATAGGAATTGCAAACATGAAGAAAGAGTAAAGCACCAAACAAACAATTCTTCCAAATTCACAATGTTGAACCCTTAAACCCCCGTTTCAACTAGCATGCATAACACATTCAATATACATTCAATTTTATGTTTTAATCGCACTAACTCCATATGTTTCTCCCAAGGAATAAGGTATTATCTATAATCACTAGATGATTAATCACAAAGCTTCAAAAGCATTCACAAAAAAAAGCATTCTTACAGGAAAATCTGCCACAAACAGGAAAGGTACTCAAATGATCATATCAGAAATCAAAGGGAAAATAACAACAAATGATCAGAAACCATATCAGAAATCTTCAACTACTTGCAGAAAACATTCTCTAGCAATCTCTAGTTGTGATTAGTGCAACATTATAGTGCTGGGTGTTCGGGTTGGTTAATTTGGAAATCCATTCCTCACCCTGAAGTTGGTGAGCAGAATAGGCCAACTCACAAGCTTTTTAGCAATATTAAAAATATATATTAAAATTATCAATATTTCATGCATTATATTGAATCACAAATTGTAATATACAATATCCATAAAAAAGTTAACAAAAACAATTGCATAATAAAGTTCAAACAATAAACAATTTACATGTTGATGCATCAACATAATTATCACCCATCAAGCTTGTAGGAAGTCTCCCAATTCCAATGTTTAAATGCACAGATAATATAAATACAAAGTCACAAAGATAGCTTCAAGAACCATTCGGTGAGAAAACAAAAATAAGCTACAAGTAGGGAGAAGAATTATGAATCAAAGCCTATGAAAATATTGATTAAATCCCTCGGCCAGCGTGTTTCAGATGGTCCCAAATGCGTTCATTCATAGCATATCGCTTAGACAGTCCTCGCACCGTTGGCTCGGCCAAAAAGCAAGGCAGCTGATAAAAGAATGCACACAGCCAACAAAATGGCAGACGATCCACTAATACTTTAAAAAAAAAAAAGCACACAGCCAACAAAAAGTAAACTAATAGACTTCAACATTCAAATCAATCTAAAATCAATACAAATAACAGTAAATAATTCAAATTAGTGTAAGTACTGAACTTACAAAGCCTCCAGCGAAACTGTAGACGAAGAATACAATAAGACGACGACAACGAAGCTGCCGCCCTGTCTTGGAGGACGTCGAAGAACGGAGAAGAAAAATAATACGATGCCAGGGAAGAAGCCGTGACAGAAGGAGAAGAAGAGGGTAGGAAAGGACTTTGGGAAGTTGAGAAAGCTCTGGACGGAACGACGAGCACGAATACGAACGTGAGACGGAAGAGGGGAGAGGCGACGGCTAGGTGAGATTGATCTGGGAAGAAAGGGTAATGCGATCTAAAATCGACTTTTTAATTAAGGGTGCGTTTGTTTTTTATTTCATAATAAAAAATAAAAAAAATAAAAAAATATTTGGATTTAATTCTCTATAACACATTTAAATTCAGTCTCTCTTCATTTTAAAAGAACACTGCACTCTCTATTTTTTATTTTCATTTACACTTACTCTCTAATACCCATTTTACCTTTAAAATTATTATATAATATAACGAATACTGTATGTAATCCAATTATTTTAATATAAACCTACATTATCTAATTACATACTTTAAAATTATCCATATGTACAAAGAAAATGTTAAGTCATGTATATGAAAATTTTATTTATGTACTGAGATAAGTTAAAAGTAAATTAAACTCAAAAACAAAATAAAACTCTATTAAAAGCACACCATCCGAATTGTGATTGGATCATTTCTTTGAAACTCGTCTTATCCCACGTTGCCCCTCTTTGTCGAAACTCCCTACTAAAGTAATAATCATTGAGCCTCCTTGCAAAAACGTTCGTCGCCGTCGGAAGTCTCCACTCACTGGCCAGAGCTCCATTCTCGTTCGAGATGTAAAAAAAATCTGCTCCTCAAAACATAATTTGAAAAAGTAAATTAAAGTTTATGATTTTCGTAGGATCAAATTTTTGAGTTCATGTTATACTTAGATTTATTTTTATTTTGTGCGTCAGTTGAGTTTGTACAAGTTCCGGTAATGAGTCATTTTACTTTGACATTGTATTGGGTTGAATATAAGTTATTTTGATGTGTTTGAACTTATAGATGATCTTGTTGTCTTTAGAAGTACCTTCATGTGTAATTTTCTAAGTTTATATTTATAGTAAAATAATTAAAATGTGAGGCGGATGGTGCTTCTTGTTTTTTTCAAATACCATAAGCAAATTGTATATTTTCGAATGATTTTCTAAGTACAAAGGTGTTGGGCGATGTCTCTGTCATGGGGTTGATTATAGATGTATATAGTTTTATTGATTAGTAAAAATTTTGTTTGTTCTTTATATTGTTTACAAGTGTTTTCCATTGTCTTTGAAGTGTTTTGATTGTTAATAAATATGTCTCAAATATAATATTACTTACGTTCGTTGTTATGCCATAAACTTGTGTTTGTGTTGGGTATACTGATAAACATATATTTTTGTTTGAAATAATGATAGATCCAAAAATATATATATATACAAAGAGCTTATCTCCAAATTTTCTATACATTTATTCTATACAAAGATGGTTAAACTTAAAGTTGGGATGAACGAAAAATAACTGAAAGCTTTGCAACTCACACCGTTTGGTTATATGAAGTAGTTTTTATAGATGCTGAAGTAAATAGACCATTACAGATGCCAATGTGAGAGTCTCAATTGTGGGCCACTTGTATGCATGTACACTTAGAGTTACGCTTTAGATGATCCACCAAGCAGCTGAGTGTCCTAATTCAATGATGTCAAGGCTTGTTGGGCTAAAATTGCTACAATAATTTTAGCAGAGGCCCCACAGGGTCTGTCTAATTCAATTTGAATGTTTGGAATGTGATTTGTTACCGCAGATATTTTAAGAGATTGTTTAAACTGATGCATTATATTTTAAGAGATTGTTTATATGTATTTACATTATGGTCATGTATACGTCTGTATACATGATAGGTAATTCAAACTTTCTAATATATACCTCTGTATATTACTTGGACACCCAAATCACATGCACAAATGTGCTGGAGGAGAACATGTACCCAAAAAATTAAATAATATACTTCAGATGGATAAATTCTGTAATTGGATGTCGATAAAACCCTAGGCCAAGATCACATACCCCCAATGATGATATTTGTACCTTTATTCAAATTTATATACCTCTGAACTAATCGAACCCACTCATATGAAGGAATATGATCTCTAAGTAGCTTTATCCACAATCGACGTACAATCAGAAAATGTGTAATCACCAAATTGTTAAAAAGCACCGATGGACCGATGACAAATCCACATTAATGACTAATATGTTCCCTACAATATGAGAAAGTCCAATATGTCTCACTAGTAATATTTTCTATTCATTCCAGCTTATTTACTGTCGTTTGGTGTTACTTCCACTCTCATAAATGCTTGGACGGACAATCATGTTACAAAGAACGTATGAGGTCATCAGTTATGAAGTGACTTTAATATATCTATTACTATAAGTCACTTCAACATATTTTATTTCATATCTATTATAAATGACATTCTTCATCCACCATTGAATGTATGGATAGGTTCTTTGTATATCGTCTCGGAAGTATTCCGTGTTGCTCACTCACTGCCCAGAAAGTGGATATGATAAATTAACTCATAGTTGTTTGATCCAACAACAATCATTGATAAATCTTGGCCCTATTAGGTGAACACGCGTGTTCACATTAATAATACCCATGCATGAATATGAATACTTTCATACACAAAGATACACCAGCTTACTCGTATTATGTATACCTCTAGTATTAACGAATATACTTTTTAAACTTCATAGAATACCCGTATTGTCATTATAACAACTCTGTCCCAAAATTAAGTACCTACACGTGATTCAATGTCAATGCAATTTGAAATAAATGACTAAAACACATTGTGGGTCATATTATACTATAAAAAATACTTTGGGGACACAAAGACCTCAGGTGTTACACATAATTTAATTAACCAAGCTTTATATCTAGTGTATTTTCGTCGTTGATAATTGTTATCATTGGTCATATTTTATACAACTACAATAATTTGTAATATACTTTCGTTGTGAATTCACATACCCATGGATACAACTAATTTGCAATTAATTTGTAATGATACGTACTCTCACATATTAGTTGTGTACACCGAAAAATACAAGGGGAATGTCATCTAATTTTGAAATCATTCAATAGTGGTCTCATACAAAGATATTCGTTCAGTGTACAATCATCCAAAAAATAAAATAAAATAATTCCAGTCATATGATGAGGAATAAAAAATACCTAAGATAAAACCTCATTTCAACTTTGTCGGTTATATCCTAGGTGACCACCACGACCATATTTTTAGATTTTTTCACTTAATGTGATTCAAACCGTATTTTTTTGGCCGGCCTAGTTGGACAGATATTGTACAAGAAATTGTCTCTCACGCGGGTTGTTCTGCGTCACATCTATTGTTTCTTGGATGGTTGCAATTACGAAATAAAGTTTCGAGCAAGTGGCATAGCCTCCACAACAAATGTTATATGCTGCCGAAAATCCTTCCATAGGGGTGCATAAACAGCTTTGTTGAAACCAGACGTTCATCAATTCTTGTGGTGCATAAGATATCTCTACATTACCTATACGAAATAAAGTTAACTTTTTGCATATATCATAATAATTTAAACAAACATTCTACACATACCTGTACGTGTAAGTTGTTTACTAAATGCCGAAGACAGTATGTGTAGTGGGCTTAAAAAAATATAGCGAGAATAGATTTTAGAAATTCCAAGTGTCTATCTAAAAAAACATTATTCTTTTCAATTATACCGACCATCAACGTAAAGAACAGACCTTAACCTCCAGCAAAGTAATTTTCAATTTTCATCATTTTTTACAGACACAACTGCATAACAACAAGATTTTATGAACATCCAATCTATTATGTTCATACATTAGTATTCGTAGTACATATCAACCAAACCAGAGTACCTTCAAACGAATAAAATATACAATAGCACACAACATGGGTATAAAATTAATAATTATAGGTACATTCCACCAAAGAAAGATTTTATGTGAAAATGCTCATGTATACTACCACTAAATCGCAAAAACCCCCCTCAAATCTTTTTTTCCTACATGTATTGTCCTATATTATGGGTTATCGTGATTGTAAAAAATTATCTACTATTGCGCAAATAATTTCGAACAGAGCAATATCCAAAGGATTGGTGAAATAATAGTAAAAATTATCGATCATACTTGAGTTTCGATCTTTGTCTTCAGTTAAACGTAGGTAGGATCGGTCGTTAGCCCTAACACACCACTATAATCAATCAACAAAATTATTACAACAAAAGAACATTCAAAATTAAAACTTCCTCTTACCCGTTTTTTTTTTTTTTCGTACGAAATAAACCTAAAGATTGAAATATAGATTCGTCATCGACATCGATCACGCACAAATAAAATAGAAGTCTAGATGGAAGTTCTTATGCGCGGAAATAACCTAATGAAGAGAGAAGAATACCTAAAATGATAAACTATATTTTTGGGAGAGAGAAGGGCAATATTGTAATTGAAATTGGGGGTGGGGAGTTAATGCTAATATTTATTAAAAAGTGGGGAGTGCAGTGATCGTGAGTGTGGGTAAGAACTGAATTTAAACATTAAAATAAGGATAGAGATTTTAATCCAATTGTCCGAAAAAAAGAAAAAAAAACTTTAGCATTCGTTTGCCTATTTTTTTTTTCAATACATTATTTTTAATACTACGTCCGTCTAGGCGAAGTAAACATATTCATTATATTTAATATTAAAAATATTTTATTTAATATTTGTATAATTAACTCTACAAATATCATTATATTTGTATTACAAGAGACTAATAAATGTATTTTTATTTTTATATTTTATTTGTAATATATTTTGATATGATAATTAATATTAAAAAATCAACGCATTAAAGCCATTGTATATTTTATGGCTTGATGGAGGTAATATATTTTATTTTTTTACAAAAATTTAATACTCCCTGCGTCCCAATACAAAAGTCTTGTTTACCATTTTTGTCTGTCCCAAAACAATAGTATCATATTTATAAATAATCATATCACTATAAAACTACCCTTACTTTTTCATTATTATTACACAATTGCCACTACTTTTTACACTAATACACTCACAAGGGCAAAAAAGTCTTATACCCGTACTTTTACCCACTATCAATATAATATCAATATTCCTTAAATTCCGTGCCAAACACAATCCAAACTATAGTTCTGGGAC